GGGCCCTTTACCAAGGTAAGTTTTCTTGAATTTTAACCAATCATCAAATAGTAAATTTTCTTTTTTGTTGCCTTTGCAGTACAACATGATGGGCGAATCTTCAGAGTTGTTTGTTAACTGCTTAGAAGCCATGGTGGAGACTTGTCTGCCTGGCGATGAATCAGCACCCGTCCCACCTTCTCCGCGTCCGTATAATCTCAGCTCTAGCCTGAGCAGCCTAACGCTTGGCTCACCCACAGATAAAGGTAAATTGTGAAAAATACAATAGCATTTTTGTTAATGCTCAAATTAGCTGCATAAATTGTTGAACTTGCTTTTAGCCTAGCGCATTATTATAGCCACAGATTTGAGATGATATTTTTGGTATACTTGAATTTTGATAAAACGTTATAAATATGTTCTCTATTTACTTTTTCTATATGCAAACACAACATTACGTTTAAATATATAGCATTCTCATCGGAATCATTAGACTTTTATGATAACTGCTCCGGCAGCGTCACCTCGCTGCGCCGCGCCTCACACAGCAAATCTCGCGCCAAACATCGATTGAACGAAAGTCCATCACATTAAACTGCAACTAATTTGAAAAACAAATATATAAAACAACTAAAACAAGCTTAGCAAATTATATATACACATACATAAACAAATCCATTACCGATAAAAAACAAAACACATCATGTTTATTAGAAGACATTGTGGGCTATACAGCCTATTGTGCAAGCATCTAATCAAGTTAACTAAGCGCTACTTACTAAATTAAATCGTACCTTACAATTGAATAAGTCAAACAATTGTACTAAATAGGGGGCAGTACATATTAATGGGTATGCAAATTGTTATTAATACCTTCCCCCTACCATCCCAAAAAAAAAAAAAAACAAAAAAAAACATGAAAATTGAATTAAAACACACATATGCACCTTATTGTATTAGCAAATTGTATGTTTGAATATTTGAAAATTGTATTTTCGATATTTATCAGTACCTTGACGCATTTATAAAACGTTTTTCGATTACACATGCGACTTTAAATTATCTAGCTCTTTTGTATCGTAGTGTAGTTGGCTTAAATGTTTGTTACATATTTTTTCGTACATATTAAAATTATAAGCAGAAATCGGCCGATGTTACTAACAACTATTTGACATATTTACCAATCGGTTAAACTAACCAAATCGCCAGTTTAGTAACTTGGCCCATATTTTATTATATACATACAAACTTTTAACCAATGGAATTACGAATCATGTTAAAATATATATAGATATATTTATATATAAATATTCAATATTAAACGTACCTAAAGCTTATGCAAAAATATATATTTGCATGCGAATTGCAACAGTGTTGCACAAACAAAGAAGCCATGCTCTCAAATTGACTAACAAAATTAATGTATAAAAAAATAAAGCAAAACACAAAATTTCGGTTGCAATAAGATTTGAGTTTTACAATAGCTTTAAACTAGACTAGAAAAAGCAACGTTACAGCGACATTTTATACTTTTTATAAATTGCATAGAATATTTTGATTAGTTAAACAGAATACAAATCTAAACAACTATATATATATATAGACTTTTATATACGACAAATTTGTTTGCCAAATGCGTACGAATTTTTACCCAGCATCGTTAGACTTGATTTAATTGAATTTCTAACTTTTATATTCCTCTTAATAATTAACTTAACTCTGTTTATTATTTTCTTAGTTTCTTGCGTAATTTATGTATATGTTTATGCCTCTTCTATCTTATTTTCAGCTGCATGAATAACAACAACAAACCCACGCACGAGACGTACCACACTAATCGCAAAAGTTATGCGTTTTTTAAATCTGTTTAAACAATGTTTCTAAACAAAAGAAAAACCAAAAAAAAAAACACACACACAAAATGTACAAACGCGTTTCGAACGAATGTCCACTGTTGATGATCGGTTATGCGTAAAATTAAACAAATAAAACTCGTTACATGTAAAAGGACTGAATGTATGTATATAGAGGAAGGCGAAACAGCTGGCAGAGGCGCATGGAACCCCACGAATAAATATTACAAATAATATAGCAAATACACAGATTTATACGTACATATATATATGTACTTATATTTTCACAAAGAATAAGAAACAAACAAACACGGCAAGAATTTTTGAACAACTATCGATGCAATGTAGTTTTTTAAAATATTTATGTATGTAGTTTAGAAATAAGCACATACCTACTTACACCAGTTCCTGCGATGACCATGGCCCAGTCGTAAGGGCCCCAAATGTACCCAAGTTGATCAATCAAAACGAAAACTGCAACAACTACAACAGCAATAAGAAGCTTAAGAAAAGTAGTATGCGATTAAGCTGCCTTTTCATTCTTTTGTATTATATGTAAATCTCTCGATGCGAATTAAAAAAAAATGTAATTAACGGCATTTATATTATGTTTTCAGATTTTATTTAAGCACATGTTCATTTAACTTTCTTTAACCTAATTTATTTCACAAGCATAATATTTTTTATATTTTACTTTATAAAATTTGTAAAACACCAAAAAACGAATTCCCTCGTAAAATAAGCAAACCCCAGTCGGCTTTTAATGCAAATTAGGCTTAGGCTTACAACACGTTTATAAGAACGAAAATCGAAATATTTATATACCTTATACATTTGTACCTCGTAACAACAACAAATTTAATCGCAACAAATTAGTCCGATATCTTCCTTTTTTAATAAGGCATACTAGCACAAGAATTTTACTTATTACCAACTGAAACTAACACATTTTGAATCAAAGGTAACTAGAACAGGAAACTATGTATAACAAATCCGAGAAACATTACTTTTGCATATAAGTATATCGTATTTATGCTCTATGTATGTATGTGTTGCTATATGTGTATTTATGTATAATCGAAAAGTATATATTGTAATTTACATAACTATCGAACGAAATAGAAATTGCCCAACTATGCGGCTAACTAAAAATATAGTATATTAAATATTCCAGTTTCAAGTCTATCAATATACAAGTTTATCGAGCAAATTAATTTACTCTCAATAAAATGTTTAAAGGAAAACCCAATAAATTATTTTTATTAAAGTCGAATTGTTAGAATATCTTATTAACTTCAAGGATAAATACTACCCATTAGATTAATTTGAAAGATGTTAAAGAATGTAAATATTTTTGAAGAGAAACTGCAAATATTTTAAGGGTTCGTAAATCGCTTTTTAATCATTTTCCTCATCCATATCAGAAATTCCAGCTCTTGTTCTTTTGTATGCAAATATTTATAATGGTTCTGGCAGTTTCAACAGATCAACCCCAGAGCTAAATACCATATGCACTTGCCAGACAATCCATTGGTGCGTTGTTTGGCGCGCCAAGATTAAAAACCTCCCCCACGAAGCAACGGAATCAGAGCCTCATCTTCAAATGCAGTCGTCGTTGTGTTTGTTGGCTTCTCAATTTCATGCATGCGATTACACGACCCTCGGGCTCAGGGGCAGACACTCACCCTCGGCGCGTTGGTCGAGCAGGTGAATTTTGTCGATGGGCCAATCTCAGTTGTAAACGCGCCAAAACGGAGCAAGTGCCACAGCTGACCAGGCCAAAATCTCGAAAATACAATCCCAATACTTGTGGGAATGCTTGAAGTAAACTTTCTCACGATGTGCCGCCAACGGCACACCGGCTGGCAAGTGCCTGGCACTGGCAACTGGTACGGGTGGCAGTGGTTGCGGTGGTTGCGAGCGAGCAAGCGCGGCCCGTTCCCGTCCGTAAGTGTAATGCAATGTCGCATCAAAGAGGAAATGAGGTCTGGGTCTCGATCTGGCCCTGCTGCCTGTGACACACACACATACACACACACGCGAAGACAGCGCGCCAAAGGGAAGAGAGCAAAAACACAGCCACGACACAAACAGAAAAACCAACAATGCCGCCGCCATCGTTGAGATTGCCGCCCGGGGCCCAAGTGAGGGTAGCTAAAGGGAACGGGCATGGCACGCATGGGGCACGGTTGCCAGAGAGTGTGCGAGGCACAGACAAAGCCAGGTCGAGGTCATGTCGCCGTCGCATTCGTTCTTGAGTTAAATGTTGCACGCAGCCAGCTCGTGTGTGCGTGTGCGTGTGGTGCGAGTTGCTGCCGCTTCTGCTCATCGTGCTGTTGGTGGTGGTTCCTCTGGTTCGGCTTTTGTCTCTCGCTCCGGCTCACGCTCTGTTCCTGTTGCGCAGGCGCACGGCATCGGCACGAGAGAAAAAGAGAGCCCGCTCTGGCAGAGGCATAGCGTACGCGCTGTTGGCATCAGGCGTGTGCACTGAGCGAAAATAAATAACTATTCGTCATTTTTAGAACACTGTTCAAGTTCACCAACATTTTTTAGATAAATATGATTTTATAAAATTTTTGTTTTCTGGTAAAAACATACTTTAATCAATCCTTTCGCACTCTTGCTTGTTAGTTTTTCATTGTTGTTAGGTTAATATTTACATACGGTTTCTTATCTTTATTTACAAAATTTTATTTTTGCATATATTTCTACTAACGTACACTTCTATTAGGTGGTGCTGATATCTACGCGCAAGCCTTATGAATCAGACCAAACTCATTCCTACTCTATTAAAAACCACCCAATCCAACAAACTATTTACCTACGAATAATTTAACTACATGCATCAACAATTTTTTTCAGTGTAGCTAAACGGCTTCCGCTCACTTGTCACAAATATCTATGCTTTTTAATCAATAGGGTATATACATGGGAAATTTTTCAAAATCAGCAAAAGTCATATATATATATAAATATATATGTATATATCTTCTATTATGTTATATGAAATGTATATGAACATTTTTTATTTGACTTAAATTTATAAGAATATTGTTTTTAAAACATAACATTTGTCTATGGATAATTGTCAGTCAATTCTATCAAATCATTGTAAAATTTACATTTAAAGTGTTATTTGAATATACAGGGTATCTTATAGTGAAGCAAGCAAACTAAATTTCTTTTAAATGTTGCACACGTGCAGCGTTAAGGGCATCTTGCCACAAGCAGAGCGTCGGAGCCACACACACTTACGCACAACGACACGATTGATGCTCGTCTTGGGCCATCATTCCCGATCGGATCCGCTTCGCTCTGATCGTTTTGAGCGTTGCGTGGTAGCAGTTAGGGGAGGATTTTGCAAGTGTACGCGCCGCCGACGCCGACGCCTGCTGCAGCTACAAAAAGGATCAGTTTACCTTGCGGCAAGATCATTTCTCAAGCGACTACCGTGCGGTGAACAGCAGCAAGTGTCCGTTCCGCAGCAGAGTTCAACATACGCCCGGACAAATTTATAAAGCTACTTGCAACATCACAATTAACAAACACACCCAATCAAATTAGTACTATGGCCGTGGAGGGTCAAAGATTTATGACCAAGACGCAGCACTATCGCAAGGTCACCAAGCCGCTGCTGGAGCGAAAGCGACGGGCGCGCATGAATCTCTACTTGGATGAGCTAAAAGATCTCATTGTGGATACAATGGACGCGCAGGGCGAGCAGGTCAACAAGCTGGAGAAGGCTGATATACTGGAGCTGACCGTGAACTATCTGAAGACGCAGCAGCAGCAGCGTCTGGCCTGCGGCAGTGCCGGCACACCTCCAGACATGTCCACACCCACTTCTCCACCTGCGAATCAGTTGAACTTTGACAAATTTCGCGCGGGTTACACACAGGCCGCCTATGAGGTCTCCCACATATTCTCCACGGTGCCCGGTGTAGATCTTAAGTTTGGCACGCATCTGATGAAGCAGCTTGGACATCAGCTAAAGGATATGAAGCAACAACTGATCAGCCCGGTGCCCAGTGAAGATGCCATCGAACCTGTCAATCTGGCCAATGGGAAGCAACAGCGCTCCACATCACCACAAGAGAATCTAGACAAGGGTGAGGATGTGTGGCGACCCTGGTAAACTATCCACAATGCCGATCCCTTAGCTTTATTACACTTGCACATTGAGAGCTTTATTAATCTGGTTCTAGTTCATAAGTCTTAATCGAGTTTTCCAAGGCTTATTGTAAACATTTGCCCTCGTTTATTAGATGATTATTTGACAAGATTTTATACCTATATGATGTGATGTTCCTGTGATAGTTTTTAAGTGCGTTTTTTTGTATCTGATCTCCAGTAGCAAATAATACTTAAATATTTAAACATAATTAATCTTAATTTGAATACACACCGAGCTTCCCAATGAGCTTCCATTTAGATTATACTGTAAAATGATTACTCATAGATATTTTGAAACAAATCATTTAGTTGATCTTTAATTTATACGCTTTTAATAAATATAAACAATTGTATATGCCATACCACAATTTTGTATTTATTATTATATTATGAAATTATTTTGATTTTCAAAATTGCATACTTCCGGTCGAAGAAATACCAATTATTCAAGTTATGTAAACATTTTTGAAATATAGTTTTTTAAGCTTAAAAATATTATCTTAAAATCAGAACAATATTTTACCCTATATGATTGAGTTACAACTTTAATAAAACGTATTTATAATTTATGTAAAATTGAGCAATTCATTAAATTATACATAAATTTGTAAACTCTCATTCAAATAAATCACCTCATCTCAATAAAATTAAAATTTGACAAATTTTCTCCGCCAAATACCGTCTTTCGAAGATCGGGGTCACCCCTGGTACATGCGAACGTCCCATTTGGAAAGTGAGCCATAAATATATAGGTTGCGAATTACATCACGTTACTTGGAAATCACCCCAATCGACTGGCTAGACGACTTCTAAGAAGGAGAAGGAGCCCGAATGCGAAGGAGATTTCGGAGGTCTAATTCAACCGATCTCTCAGAATAAGTTGTACTAGTATTTATTCATATAAGTTCAATTGCAGTTGCTTAAATAAAAAATAAAACAAAATCAACTTAAAATAAAAGACATATTTTCTGTCAAATAAATCAACAAGAAAAAGATTTTAAGAGTTTGCGTTTAACAAATATCTTAAGAATAATATAAGTATTGGTTTCTCAGAGTTTTTTTCCAATATATATTTGGAACAAATAAATAAATATTTTCGCAGCTTAAAAATAATGAATTACAAGGTTCATATAATAACAAATAAGCGAAAAAATTGAATCATAACATTTTTACAAATAAATTGCGAATACTCCCCTAATTTTTTTGACGAATCGTTATTTGTTGTTATTTTTTTGACAGATTTCTTATATTTTAGTATTTTAATATATAAAAAATAATAATATAATTAATAATATAAAAATGTAATTATTATTGAAATTGTTTTTATTATTATTATTATTATTATTATTTTTTATAAACTACTTTTTTGTAGTTGTGAAGTTGTTTTTGAATTTATGGCCTAAGTCTCAATTGAACTGGTGATTAATCGAACCATGTAGTCGGCTCACGACACAGTGAATAGCTTTAAATAATGGCTGACCACATCCATTTGCAATCATTCACCCAACACCATTTCATATATCGTCATAAACATGCGCATGTAAATGTTCACCCAATATCCACAGCCCAATTACAAGAGCCTGGAACGCGCACGACTTACAGTCAAAAGTCGAAAGTGTGTCCACCGTGCGCCACACGCGAGTAACGAGCAGCAAGAGTCGAGCAACAAGCATCGAACAGCATCGCTTGGCCCATGCCCGACCTCGACTCTTACATACAAAAGGTGCCCATGGGCCAGGATCAGGGCAGAGCCAGAGCCAGAGCCAGAGAAAAAGCAACGGGAACACAAATTAAGCACACTCGTCGCACACGAGCAATGTTCCCACAGGATCATAACTGGCACACAGCCGGCCAACAAGTGCAGGACGAGCCGAAATGGAATGCCAATGCACAAACAGGAAGTGCTGCTCTTTGCTGCTCTGCCTAAGCGAAACGCCCCAGCAAAATGCTGCTGCTCCTGGCATTCTGGCCGTGTCGTTCCCACGCCAACGGGCCAGCGTCTGTTGGCACAAATGAGATGGCAAGAAGCGTGCAGTTCATTATCCTTTCGCTCGCCCATGTTCTTAGGCAAATCATAACACAAATCTAGAAATGGCAGCTGCGCCACAAACTCACAAACGCACAAACTGCAAAAATTCCCATGGCCTGGCCAGGCGGAGCATGGTTCGAGCTGCGCTTCGTTGCCCATTGAGCAGGTGAGCCTCAGAATATTGGTGTGAGAAACCAAGGAGGAAAGTGGTTCCCACGATACTGCCAAGCACACACTCAAATGAACACACATACACACGCACAAAGGCAACGATCCTGCGAAGGCAGCGATCCTGCTCCCTGGTGCCCGCTGATGATAAGGGTGCCACCAGAGGGCAACAATAAGAAACCGAGCGAACAATAAGAAACAGCGGAAGGGTCGACGACGTCGTCGTCGAGCAACCCTCATGCCAGCACACGCTGCACAAAATGCCAGCACAGCCGAAGCCAAAGCCGAGACCGATCCAAGCGCACGAGGTATTATGGGGGTTGTTTTTGCCGCTCGCCTATAAAAGGCAGCGGTCCGGCGAGTCAAGAACACACAACGTCTTGCACAGTCAGAGCAGGAACAGCTCAGCAAAGCAACCAAAATAACAACACCAAATAACCAACAAAATGTCGTCAATACAAATATCGGAAATGTCCAAGACGTACCAATACCGCAAGGTGATGAAGCCATTGCTGGAGCGCAAGCGGCGCGCACGCATCAATAAGTGTCTAGATGAGCTAAAGGATCTGATGGTCGCCACGCTAGAATCAGAGGGGGAGCATGTCACACGCCTGGAAAAGGCCGATATACTCGAGCTGACCGTCACCCATCTGCAGAAGATGAAGCAACAGCGCCAGCACAAACGCGCCAATGGTGGCGCCGAGACACTTACGCCTGCCGAGGGCTTCCGCTCCGGCTATATACACGCCGTCAATGAGGTGTCCCGCTCACTGTCCCAGCTACCCGGCATGAATGTCAGCCTGGGCACACAGTTAATGACACATTTGGGTCAGCGGCTTAATCAACTGCAACCCGCCGTTAAGGAGGTGCTCCCAGTGACGCAGCCGCTCTCCGTGCACATTGCCAGCCGGGATGCCTACTCTGTGCCCATTTCGCCCATCTCCAGCTATGCCGGCAGCCCCAACTCAAGTGTGGCCAGCGAACAACTGGGCAGCGCCTCGCTCCTGACCACTTGCTCCAGCAATCTCAGCATTGACGTCACCAAAATGGAGGAGGTGGCAGACAGCGAGGATGAGGAGAATGTCTGGCGGCCTTGGTAGAGAACCAGCGAGAGCGACAGAGAAAAAGAGAGAGAGAGAGAGAGAGAGAGACTATAAGAATGAGAGTTAAGAATAGCAAATGTCTTCCAAGTCAAAGGGTTAACCAAGCCCAATTGACGCCCACTTAGCATTAAGTTTACAACAACAACAACAACAAAAAAGCTTTAACACGGCGCAGTTCATGTGATAACTAAGTTTAATAATAAATTATATAGCTAAAATCGAAATACCATGCATCTTTTATTGACTCATCGTATTTTCCCCTGGTATAACTGATCAGTTATAAGACTGAACTTAATGGGAATAGCTGCTTATCAATCAATAAGCAACATATGACTATCCAATTGGTCAAACTGTATCCAGGAATATATATATATATATGTATTAGTTAGGAGGGTCAATCAGTTGTTGTAGCGGAAATGCGCTGACCGTAGCCTAAACTGCTGCTACAATTTTCTCGAACCCAACTGAGTCAATTCGTTGTAATTTTCTGATTCTTCTTATTGTTAAAAATGCCGACCAAAAATCTGTTAACAATAGAAAGCGAAAACAATGCCAAGGCCGAGAAGAAAACCAAAAAGAAAACTACGAAAAAAAAAACATACTAGAAAAATAAAATCAATGTCCGTTACGAGTCTGCCGACGCGTCCAGGGTCCAGGAGCACCCCTTGAACACGTGTGCACACAATAAGACCGGGCAACATAAAAAATTAGAGACTTATCTCTTGGCGTGCCTAATCGAGTTACGACAATGTCGCTCAGCCTTAGGCCCAAAACGAAATCTTCTTGAAAAGAAAAACGGCCCAAACAATAGTAGAAAAGGATCGAGTCATCGTTGTACAACCCTCCGGCCAACCTCCAACCATTAAGCATCCTTTTTGGGCACTCGTCTAGAAAATCGTGTGCACAACGGTCAAGGCAAGACACATAATTGCTCGGGCTGTCTGTCTGACATTCAGGTAAAGGTAAAATGATTGCTCTACCCTAGGGCAATCCACAGCTTGGGCCCTGACAGGATATCACTTTTAGCTGGCCCGCATCATTTGGTTATCTGCTGCCGCTGTCGCTGTTGTCGTTGTTGCTGCTTTTGTTGTTGTTGTTGTTGTTGCTGTTCTTGTTGTTGCTGTTGCTGCTCCAACAAGACCAGTAGCTCCGACGCCTGAGCTGTTAACAATCAATGAAGTTAAAGACAGCCACATAAAATAGCCCAGACAACATGAAAATTATGAGGGCACCTCTGGGGATGCAAAATCGTGGCCTTGATCAGCATTAACGATCTTAAGACTGAATATTTCTGAGCAGTAAATTCACCATCATGTGAGATTTAAATAATGCGGGTTAGCCAAATCATCATTTAATTATTAATTTTAGATTAACTAAAAATTTAATTGAGCATATGTACATTGTTTTCAATTGTTATTCTTAACAATAAATATAATAAAAATTAATATTTTAAATAAATAAATTTTAAATAAATATATAGATCAGACAGGTTCGCTTTTATGTGCACCCTACAGCTAAAATGACTTAGATTCGGTAATATTTGCAATTTATATAAGTTGTGCCTAACTGACACCTATAAAGCTAATACGACTTTAAGAAAAGAGCCAAAAATCATTTTGTATAACTCAATTGAATTTTCAGTCGTGTAGCTCATACAAATTTGCATATGATCAATACGGACAAAAAAATCGCGACTCAATGTTGATCCTCGGCCATCCCTAGGCAGCATAATTGTGGCATGGCAACAACAACAATGACAGCAACAACAACAACAACAACAACAACAACGACAACGACAACAAGATGCACAACCAGAGACGACAATGGACAATAAGCAGAATATGGTATAAGGCGAAGGCAAAAGGAAATGCACGCGGCAGCTACGAAAGATACTTAATCTTAAAGGTAAACCCGATGAATGATGAACGAATGTGTTGCAACGTAACCGAAACCGTATCCCAATCCCAAAACTCCGAAACGTTCAAAGATCTGCAAAGAGCTCGACGCTCGCCGCTCGCCGCTCGCCTCTCGAACGCAAGCCCGAGTCATTAAAAATCTACAATACACAAACTGCATACGAATCACTTGAAGGGCCACAGCACACGCACACACACAAATTGACGGGCGGAGGGACTGGTCGTCGGGCACAGGGTGAGGGGCAGGGTGAGGAGCGGAGCGCAGTACAAAAAATATCAGAAGCGAAGATCGTGAGAAAATGGTTTGGAACGTGGTTCTCACACGATCGACACACCTGCCCTTTTTTATGTGTAAGTGTGTGTGCAGGGTGTGTGTGTGTGTGTGTGTGTCTCCCTGTTGTACGTATTTTTGAATTCAAGATACAAGACCACTTACGGGCAAGATCACGACCGAGGAGCGAGGAGGCGAATAGCTGCTGCTGCTGCTGCTGCTGCGACTTGAAAGAGAAAAGCAGCGTGCGGTAAGTGTGCGGCAAAGTTGACGTCGTCGCATTGGCCAACATTGTAATGACTGTGGACACACGATCGTTAAGACCACAGCGTAGCCGAACACAAAAGGGGTAGGGGGGCAGGCGACAAGGCGGCCTGTGGCGCGGCGCATGCGCGATGAAGCCGCACCGCGCAGCTCGCAGCTCGCAGCGTTTTGTCGAACGAACTCAATTTACTTTGTTTACGGCCAGAGCCAGAGCCAAAGCGAGACAAAGTTCGAGTGTGCGATAGAGACAGTTAGCCAGTGTGAGGCACAGGCCGAGCCACACTTATATGGTGTGCTATTGACTCTGTAATATCTTTAATATGGGATGTTGTTACACTGCATTGGCACACGCGCACGTTGCCACTGGACGAGCGCTGCCCAGAGCCAGTGTTGGCGGGCGTGTGTGTGTGTGTGTGTGTGCCAGAGATGCTGGCACGAGTTGTTGCATGGCAGCCCCACACCAACCCCCCTCACCCAGCCAAACAGCCGCTGCTCATCTCAACGATGCCTGGCCCCTCAGCTCAGCCCATCGCCAGCGCCCGCTCCATCGGCTGGGTTGGCCGGTTTTTATTTTTGATTTTTTTTTTGTTGCTTTTTATTTATTTTTTTATTTTTTATTAAGTGGTGGTCTTGCGCTTACTTTAATATGGCTGCATTAAATTTTGCGGCGTGTGTGTATTATGACTGCAGTAGGTGGCACTGCCTGGCCCCGGGGCAGCAACGGCAGCAGCAGCATCAACTACAGTTGCTTGAGTGAATGTGAATGTGAATGGAATGGAATGGAATTAGTGTGGGGCCAACACTCAGAGGTCACGTGATGTGCGCACCGTACTGTACTTCTTCATTTTTTTGCTACCTTAAAGCGCTTACTAACCGTTCAAGACGCTCCAACCGAACCGTTAATTATTGGCCTACATAAAATAATATCATTCGCATCATTGCCAGCAAATGACTCGATAGTTTTTGAAGGTATTCGAAATATAGAAGTAAAAGTGTCAAAATTATTACAATAAGTAGCCTAGATGCAATGATAAATGTTTTTTATGTAATACATATTAATGATGACTTAAAAATGAATGAATGAAAAAACTTTAAATATTCTTTTTGCCTTTAGTTACTTGTAAAATATATTAATCCTATTTGGGTTTCCAGTGAAAAGTCCTAATATACCATAATACCAAGAAAATTGTTAATTTAGCCTGTGTTTTTGATTGGATTGCTCATTTTGGTAATTTTTTAGCTTCCAATACTTAAGCAGATATCTTCACTTATGTCATTAAAATATCATCATAAGCCTGCTAATTTCTGACAGCACTTTTTGAAAAGATCAGCCAAGGCGAGTTCTTTAATGGTCCTCTTGCAATTTTCGTATTCTTCAAACTTGTAGCTGATTGGCCAAAAAAAAAATAAAAAAAAAAAAACAAAGAAAAGCACAAATATAATATATATGTAGGTATGTGTGTGTGTGTGTACAATAATGATATAAAAGAGCTGTGCAGGTCGCCGTGCCAATGTTACGTGACTAATCACATTTGGCAGAGATTAGCAGCAATCAGCATCAGCGGAGAGTAGCAGTCATCATCATAGTTGTCCACACCAGACACAAAAGCGTTCAATTTGAAGTTCCGTAACCAAACCGCACACACTCACACACACGCACACACACATACAGAGGGAGAGTAGCCAACACACATACATGTTGCTCATATACCGATACCAATACCGATACATAGCGAAGTTTTAAGTGCCCGGTCCGGTCGCGGTCGCGGACCTTAATTTGCGATGTCTGTCTGGAGGTCTGTCCGCCCGTCCGGCCGGCGGCCCCGGCGCATGTGCCAAACGGTCAAGCGCAGTTAAAGCTGTCAAAGCTACGACAACAACAGCAACAACAATGCGAACCATTGACAGGCGAGTCGAGCGGTTCTCACACTCGAAAACTTGTAATAAATTGAGTTTCCTAGAATTTAGTTGCTGGTCTTTAAACACACATACATCTATCTATATACATACATATACATATACATAAATATATATGTTTTTTTTTTTTTTGCTGCTCTACGCTGTTTTTATTATTTAATTGCCGCAGCAGCGCCGGCGCAAAAGGCCCCGCGGTCATAGCCGGCGGCGAAGCTGAATGAAGTCGGAATCGGAGAACTGAGTATGAACCGTCATTAAATGAGGCCAACTGGAGAGGCCGAGTGTGGGAAAATATTTAGCGACTTCCGGCTGCGGTTTTGATTTGGATTTTCTATGGAGCTCATTATATGCCCGTCGCCTCCGGAAGGGCTTCATTGATGATTGTGCTTATCGCTGGACAGAATGACGCAGGCAGTCAGGCGCCTCGTGAAATTGAATCACTTGCTGAAACTCGAGATGACCAAATTAAATGAAATTTCGGGATTTTTTTTTTTTTTTTTTTTCAAACATATATGAACATATTTTATTTATTTTGATTTGATTTGCTCTGGGTGCACATTCAAAATGTAGCTACACTCTTTAGCCATGTTGTCGGCTCTAGCTGAGTGGCTCAAAGATCTTTGCAGTGAAGCTGTCGGCGCACGGTTTCCAGTCCATTGCGCCGGTACGAACAGCTGTCCAATTGAGTGCAAGTGAGTAAGTTGTCAACGCCTTGTGCTTCAAGGCTGCCGCCTGCATTGCGTTCACCAGGGACGCCACATGGGTCCAGTGCTGTTGGAGCTGGTGCTCGCCTCACTGGGCGCCGGGCTGCAGCTGCCGCTGGCACTGCCGCATTCTGAGGGCGGCG